ATGAAGATATTTGTTGAAAAGACAGGGAAGTCACGTCATAATGGTAGGGAAAGTGTCTGAAGTCGAGATGCCAGGTCAGGGCTGGTAATATTGCAGACTGTTTTTTGGATTTTGTCAAGAATGTCCCGATTTTATTGCAGGAGTTCCAGGCCAGGTAGGATAGCAATATAAATTGCACGGATGAGGTGAATGTGCAAGATAGGTTTTTGGCGCGAAAGTGTGTTTGGCACCAACTTTCCTTGAAGCGTGTCCAAAAATGGATTCAATATATTCACCCCAATTTCTGTTATCGGAAAACGTAAGCCGAAGAAAAAAATATTATCAGCAATAAAAATTTTGTCGGCATTAAATAACCCATTATGGTTGATATGCTGCAAACCAAGCCAAACCATGATTTCCACCATTATGGTTCTGCATGAAGATCGGGATAAGGTGACATTGTGTGTCATGACATACCTGCCCGTCTTGCGACCAAATCAGTATATATAGTATCACTAGACACAGCCTTGTGCCATTTAATTGAAGCAAGAGATTTAGTTTCCTTTCTTTCATTATACGGTCAGTTTTAGACCTACTGGAATGACATGGTGTAATCGATTTCTAATTTTCCCTCAGATTAAATATATTTTCAGTGAGTATGTTGAAATCTGTTTGGACTTGAAAAATATTTCCTCATCCGTGATTGCATCGGACTTTATTACGCCCAGACCATATTGTCTCGACTGTCGATTAGTTGTCCTACGGCCGTTGCCTGCAATGGGCGTTACTCCAAGGAAGCGGACAAAAATTATAATGCTGCACGAAAAACACTGGCCAGCCTTACCAGTGAGCAAATAAGAGTAATATAGACTGGCCTTCAAACTCTCCTGATTTAAATCAAATTGAGAATCTGTGAAGAATCTGCAAGGAACAACATCGCGGAATGGATATACGAAGTATTAATATATGCACTGGGTTATGTTTCATTGGAAAATACAGAAAGAAGTAAATAATAACGGAATTATTTCTTTTGTTTCAATTAAATTGAACAAGGATGTAGCTGTTCTTGCAACACATTTTATTACATAATATATTCAGTTTATCAACGGCCCTTTTTGGTATGATTTGATCGGAATGCTAGCCGTTTAAGACAAATTCCACCATTTTTTTTCCTTTCTCGCCAGTAATCTTCAATATATCTCGACTTGTTCATGGTATACTACAGACAAAGTTCAAGCCTATTAGCTCAATTACGACCGAAATACTCAATTCTGTCCTTCCGATGGAACACGATTACAATAGTGCCTGTAGGTCGGGTTTTCAACTAGTTAATAAGAAGTCAGTCGTTGGTCTAATGCCGTCGAATTTATTCTCAAGCTATTAACGCAAGTAAGAAGTACCATCAATGAAAGTACATCTGAAAAGGGGGAAAAAGAAGTACGGCTTACGATAGGTTGGAAAAATCAATGTTCAACACCGCTCATCCTTTTTCACTCTAACAAGGGCGGTCAGGGTTATTATTGATCGAGAGAAAGCGAGAATGCGGGGTCATTTTAGTTCAAGGAAAGAAAGAGAAAGAGTCATTAAAGCAGAGACGGTGGGCCCTTCAGCGACCAATCACCTTTCTTTTGACCGCGCTTGCCAAGATAAAGCCATGCTTAGCCAATGATGTAGCACTTCGAGTAGCATCCGTTCCGGCAGTGGAGTGGTCACTTTTCACTGAACCCAGCGACCCGTCGAAGCTTACGTCTGGTCGTCCACCCAGTCCCAGTGACGAGAAATGTTCATTTTCAAAACACTCCCGGATGATAGAAGAGTGGTCAGTCGACTCGACTGATGAGTGGATGGTCAAAATCTTAGGTCAGAACCAATTAATCATGGGTGCCGTTCGAGAAGGTCAGTGAAGCGAGCGTTGGCCCGCGGGTCAGTGAGGTGGAGATAGGCCTGAGATCAGACAGCCTTTCTCTCTGAATAACCGCCTTGTTTATTATCATTTCTCTTTTTACAAAATGATTTATCCAGAAAACGAAAAAAATAAAGATATATTTTAAAAAAATTAAAAATAAACATATGATATTTATTTGTTCAGTAAATTTAAATCTCTATTTAAATAATAATAATAATAATAATAATAATAATAATAATAATAATAATAATAAAGAGAAGGACCTGATTTAAGAAAAGACAAAACACAGTATTGGACAATGTTCAACAATATTTCGAGAGATTGTCTGTATTCTTCAGTTATATTTTTTCAAAAATTAAAGTGTAAAAATATATAAATTGACAAAAAGAAAAACACGGTGTTTGACAATGTTCGACACTATTTCGACAGGATGTCTGTCTTCTTCAGTTATACTTTTTTTGGAAAAATTAAAGTATAAAAGTATATAAATTAACCAAAATATTATAAGTTGATAAACGTTGCTTGTCTTGTAACGAAAAATGTTTGCATTGGTAATTAAAAGAAAAACAATTGTAGAAAAACAGTCCACGAAAAAATAAAGAAAAAATCCTTTGAAAACACCAGAAGACAAATGTAAGAAACGAAAGAGAGGCCAGTGAAAAGCCCGAGTCATCCATTCCCTGAACTCTCCTACCCTACCATGCAGTAGATGTAGAATCTATTCCAATCCACCATAGGACACATTTCACACAGAAGGTAATATCGATGAGCACCCCAATACTCAGCAAAAAGTTCCGTCAAGGACGACGTCGGCAATAAAATCTATTACTTGATCTTCAAAACTTTAAATGCAATGTCAATCGTTATTTTTTGTCTTCTTAATTCTTGTTCTATTATTTTTCACTCTCATTATTCCGGCGAAAAATGGTTCGGTGCGCATGCAGTATATCTAGAAATTCTTGATAGAATTCAAAGAACACTATGCAATATCATTGACCCTAACATGGCATCTCGGCTTCTATTAGATTCACACTGCCATAATATCGATTATCAATGCCTTTTCTATAAATGATTTTATGGTAATTGTTCTGATTAACTTTACGCTATGGTAGCAAGACTTTACGATTTTAAACTCAATACTAGAATGGCGGCAAGGTCTCATATGTTTAAGTTGAATTGGCTCAATGCAACAATATGTTATATGGTAAAAGTTTCGTCTATCACACTTCTTATTTGTCGAACTCTCTTCCAGCTCCATGGTGTCCATCCAACTTTGATCTTCAAGAATTTTAATGCGATGACAATCGTTATCTTTTATCTTCTTAATTCTTGTTCTTTTATTTTTCACTCTCCTTATTATTCCGTCTAAATATGGTCCGGTGCGCATGCAGTATATCTAGAGATTCTTGATAAAATCCAAAGAACACTATGCAATATCATTGGCCCTAACATGGCATCTCGGCATCAATCAGATTCACACTGTCATAATATCGATTATCAAAGCCTTTTCTATAAATGATTTTATGGTAATGGTTCTGATAAACTTTACGCTATGATAGCAAGACTTTACGAATTTAAACTCAGTACTAGAGTGGCGGCAATGTCTCATAGGTTTAAGTGGAATTGGCTTGATGCAATAATACGTTATATGCTGTTTCTTCTATCGCACTTCTTGCTTGTGGAAATCTCTTCCGGTTTTCAGCTACCAAGTCAACTTTGATCTTCAAAACTGTAAATGCAATGTCAATCGTTATTTTCTGTCTTCTTAATTCTTGTTCTTTTATTTTTCACTCTGCTTAATATTCCGGCTAAATATGGTCCGGTGCGCATGCAGTATATCTAGAGATTCTTGATAGAATCCAAAGAACACTATGCAATATTATTGACCCTGACCCGGCATCTTACCTTCAATCACCTTCTCACTGATATAATTAAATATAAGCGTGATATAAGAAAAGAAAAAGAAAAGAAAAAACAGTTTTTGATAATGTTCAACAATATTTCGAAAGAATGTAGTTCTTCTTTAAGTTATTTTTTTTTTTTTAAATTAAAATATAAAAGTATTTTTTTTTTAAGCATTACGCCCCGAGCAAGGCGTGAAGCCACTAGGATGCAGGGGGTTGCGGAAGATTTAGAGCGAGAGCAGATAGGAGTGATAGGAGAAAGGATGAGGAGAAGGATAGTGGGTAGATCAAGGTAACTGGAGATGTCAATTGACATTACATTTGAATAGTTGGAGATTATAGCTTTCAGGGAAACAGTAATTGGGGAGGGTGTTCCACTGGCGAGAGGTGTGAGGTATGAAGCTATTGGAGTAGAAGAGACGGCTACATTTGAAAGTTTCAACAGTGAAAGGGTGAGAGCTGGATGCCAGTCTCGTAGGGCGCTTGAATTCATGGAGTCTGGGAACCAGAAAAAGCAGCTCGTCAGAGCAGTTACCATGGAAGTATTTGTAGAAAAGACAGAGAGAGGCGACGGCGCGTCTGTGAGAGAGTGACTGCAGACAAGACGCTAGATCAGGGCCAATTAGATTACATATCCGTCTCTGGATCTTGTCAAGAACTCCGAGGTAAGCAGAAGGTGCTCCATCCCATATATGGCAGCAATACTCCATGCAAGGGTGAATGGTTGTTTTGTATATTTGAAGTATCGATTCAGGGGAGAAAAACATCCTGGCGCGGCACAGAGAGCCAACTTTCCTCGAGGTGGAAGAAGCAATTGACTCAATGTATTTGTTCCATCTCAGGTCAGCAGTCAGCGTGAGACCGAGCAGGCGCAGGGAGTTGCTCTCAGGAAGTTGTCTATCAGACATTTTAAGTGGGGAGGGCAGGGAAATTTACAAAAAAATAATGTAATACTCTGTACAAACGTTGCTTCTCTTTTAATGAAATATGTCTGTATTGATAATTAAAAGAACAAATTGTAGAAGAGCAGTGTCCTAAAAAACAACATCCTCCAAAAACACCAGAAGACAAATAGTTGAGACGAAGAGAGCCCAAAGAAATAGGTGAGGTCTCAATCTTCTGAACTCTTCTACCCCTACCAGGCGGTGACTGCGGACTTCGCTTCAGATCCAACATAGGACACATTTCACATATGAATTTGATGGAAATTTTTATTTATCAAAATGTGCGTCGACTCGACAATATTCATTTCTCATGTAAGGAAAAGGGGGATCAGACCATCGATGATAGCGATCCCAAAAATTGGTTGAATAGTGAGTCAAATATCGACCCGGATCATCCGGTTTCCACAAATATAAATCACTACTTTTTAGAAAACCCAGTAACTCATTCTTGGGCCCCACTTTAATCTGATGTTCCTTCCGAGTTTCACCGATCGTCGGCTTCTTGTAGCTGCAAGTGTAAATGCTGCTGGCACGGGGCTCAGTTATATCCCAGACATCCAGGGGGTCTTTCTTTAAAACCTCTGCCCTTTCTAAGTCTGTTAGTACGTTGTTCGTCTTCGGGATTTCTTTGGGGAATTCAGCTCCCTCAGATACCATATCAGCAGTACGGCACGCATCGGGACCCGGCTTCTTTATTATCTTAGGAAATTCCTTCTGTCCTAATTTGGGAACAAATTTGAAAGGAATGTAATCCGTCTGAGTTATTGTTAGACCTGTCGGTCTGTCTGTTATCCAATCTGGTTTATCACCGACGAATGACGTAAACGGCCGGCCGGAAATGGTTTCAAAAGGAGGATAATTACGAGTAACACCGGTTGGGGGCTTACGTCTCAGATCCGAGGCTACTTGGTCGGTTGCAACGAGACCGTTTTCTAAACTTTCCGTTGTCACTGATTTCGTTGGGTAAAAAGCTTCGGGTGGCTGATAGACCGTGTTCTTTGTGAACGAGGAGGGGACACGGTAGAAATCCTGTGGGTGGAAGTCCCACATGTTCACGCTTGTGTATGGCTGGAAATCTCGTTGTGTGACGGTGCAATAGTTGTTAAGACACAGATCGCCCATTTGCGGGTTATCGACAGAATCTAACTGACGGGAATATCTCAGAAATGGTCGTTCGTTCGATATAAAACCATTCGTGCATGGGGTGCATTTTGAAGGTTTGATTTTCCCGGTTCGATTTCGGTAATTTGATGCGTAGTGACTTGTGTAAAAATTCATTATATCATCGCTGGGGCCAGAACATTTCCGCTTCTCATAGCAAGAAGGGTCTCTCTTTTCGAAAGTTTTTATTGAATCCATTTTGTTTTTGTTAAGAGAAACGATGAAGACTTTTTTTCTTTTTACTTTCCTTTCTTTTAATCTTTAAAAATATCAGATTTTTGCATTTTTTGTTTTTTTTTTATTTTAAATATTCCACATTAATTTTGTTTTTAATATAATTCTTGCGACAAACCAAAGGAAATTGTAATTATTTGTTTGCGAATAAATTGTTTATTCTAATTGCAGTTTCTATGACAACAGCCAACAGAATTTTTTTTACATGGAAATAATAAAAATGAATATGAAGGAAATTAAATTATTTAATTTAAAATATTTACGAGTAAATGGAGGGAAAGATATTTTTTAAATATTTGCAGCGTTGTATAAATTTTGTATTACAAATTAAAACGAAAAAGATTTATCCTTAAAAAAGAATCTTTTATTATTTTAATATTTTTTCATTTAATGCGTCATTTGTTCAAAATGAAATAAGCCGATGAGGAAGGAAGTAAATAAATAAAAGTTAAAAAGAAAAGAATATTGCAAAAAGACGACGAAAATAAAAAAAAAAAGAATATCCCTATCACCCCTACCAATGATTATTTCATTGTCGAATATTTTATCGCTAATATTTAAAAAAAAAAAAAAAAAAAAAAATCTTTAGCTGCTGAGCAACAGAAAACCGGAAGTCCGAGATATAATAATCAGTGATTGGTTTGTTTATATTCTTTTTTTTATGATAGGCCACTACCAGGAAAAAAATTAACGTTAAAGAAAAGCTCATAAAATAAAATTCAGATGTTTCCAAGCAAATGATTTATAATGTTTATATGCAGCCAGAATAAAGGTTGACGGCGGTCCAGATGGAAGCGGAAATGAATTCGGGCTGATGCTGTAGCGTCCATTACTCAATTTATACCACAGGGGAAGGCATGAAATTACTTTTCCTTTCTCTGGCTAAAATGATAAGGTAGATTAGTCTGTGTAGACGGTGAGGCATGCAGTTCAAGGAGAAAAACAAAACCGTGAAAAAGACACGTTAAATCCTTCCACTTAAATCTAAAAAAAAACAGTTATTAATGCAAAGGAACTTGTCGAGAGTTACAAAGGTACATAGATGCATAGTGAAATATTTGGAAAATCAGATGTTATATATATATATATATATATATATATATATATATATATATATATATATATATATATATAATAAAATATCAAGTATATAATTGGTGTATACGGAATGAATTCCAATAACCAACAATTACTATTCGTAAAAGAGAGCTCAATACAAAGTAGAGCAGATATAATTATTTAAAAAAAAAAATTATAACATAAGTATGTTATAAAATCACTACAAAAATAGCCATAGATTTTATAACATATTTATGTTATAAAATTAAAAAAAAATATTATATAATAACATATAATAAAAAGGCTTAAACACTAATATTCCATGGTCATAATATATTCCATTGGAATCGTAAATACGATCCAATTCATCAGACCTACAAATTCAAAAAGAAAACAGAAAAAACAACTCCGGAAATAAAAATAAAATTTAGAGAGAGTGTAAGTATGAGTGTGGGACGAATGTTAGAGCTAAAGAGAGGGGTAACAGACGAGAGAAGGTGGGAGATTAAAACTTAACAGAGAGGAGTTTTAGACAGTTTAAGTGAGAGAAATATATGTATATGTATGCGTATATATGTATATTTATGTATGCGTATATGGATGTATGTATATGTAGGTAGATGTATATGTAGATGTGTTTATATGTGTGTGTATGATTTGGTATGTATGTACTCATATATATATATCTGTATATGGGTGTATATTTATGTATTTATAGTTAGACGGATAGATATAGTGATACATTGTTTATTTGTTTTGATGAGTGTATGTATTTGTATGGAGATGTAAGGTTTTAGGTATATATGTTTATGTGCACGTATGTGTATGTCGTATATATATATATATATATATATATATATAAATATATATATATATATATATATATATATATATATATATATATATATATATATATATATATATGTGTGTGTGTATGTGTCTGTGTGTAAATGTGCATATATATGTAGGAGTGAATGTGTATGGATGTATGTGTATATGTAAGTGTGTGTTTATTTATGTATATATATATATATATATGTATATATGTATGTATGTGTGTGCATGTTTGTGTATGTGTATATATGTATATGTATATGAGAATATATATATATATATATATATATATATATATATATATGGATATATGTGTATGTGTGTACATAGGTATATAAATGTGTGTATGTGGGTACACGCCTATATGTATGTATGTACGTGTATATGTTATTGTGTATTTATGTATACGCATGTGTTTTTGAACATAAAAATATAGGTCCTTGCTAGATTAGATAATCGTTATATTTAATCTTTATATGTTTATATTTGATTTGTAACCTGTAGTCGATATTAATTTTGTCATATTTTCTCAATTACACAGCGGCCCTTTCAGTAAATGTCCTTCAATTTTAGTTTCCCCCGCCCCATCTCTCGCCCCCACACCTTTTTCTTTTCTTTTCCTCTCCCTCCCTCTTCTTCTGATCTTGAAGATTAGAGATCGTCTATTGTGTATGTATATAAGACTTAATGTATCCTTTCCGGTTACATCCTTAATGTATTAGTCATCCGACAACATTCATATATATATATATATATATATATATATATATATATATATATATATAATGTATGTATTCTGTGAATATTTGGCTTGAACAATATTATTAAACCAACAGACATTTTGTGTCGATTAATATTATTGATTGACTTTTCAAAATTAGGAACGATCCTTCTTGTCAAGTGTAAATTCCGTCAGAAACGTTTCGGAAGAATGTTAGTCATCATCAGAATAGGTTGGGGCAATTGGTGAGTTTAGAAGTGTTACAGCGTAGGTAAAGATTGTTGTGATGCAAACTGATGATAACTTAAGAAAATCGAAAGTTCGGAACATAATTCTTATCATGTTCTTCCGAAATGACCTAGAAACAATTTCAAACGGAGTTTCCTCTGCACTAGTCATGTAAACTTGAATAGCCTTCCTTACACTTTTGTGATTTTTTAGGAAATAATTTTCTTAAACGTATCTACAAATATTTTTGCCTGTCGGATAAAATATTTGCTTCTGCCTTTAAGAATTAAAATACTGATCTACAAGTTTGGTGCCGCAACATATATATCCACCATCATTTCCAACACGCCTTGTATATTTTCATGCAAAGTTTAGTATATATCAAACGACTAGCGCTTAAAATACACACTTATTTTATGTCTTGAACGCCCACATATAAAAAAAAGGTCTTACGCCTATTTGGCTTGTTTGGTGGTCCGTCGCGTACTCTTCCAGCCATTTATTTTGGCTAGATATTTTTTTTTATTTTAGGTTCGGCCATATTACTCTTCTCGCAAATCAAAAACGTCTGTTTTTTTCCCCTAATTTATAAGTTCTATTCAGCTGAGGTTTAATAACTTTTATATGTCAGAAGAATTACTGGCTTTAGTATTTTTTTGTTTTCTTTCGTTTTTTACCCTTGGTAAGAAATACCTAATATTATGGGATAGATTAAACAAAGATTTTCCACTAGAATGTCGTCATCAGCAAGATGAAATTTACGGGAAAAAAATACAATTTTAATAACCAATATTAAGAAGACAGATTCTATGAGTGTCAGCAAATGAAAAAAAAAGTCAATATGCTGTGAATTACGAATTGAAAAGGACCAAGTAAAAAAGTTCAAATATTTGAAAAGTGTTTTTTGTTTATCATTTTACCCAAAGCAATGCAATAACGCCCCTAAGTGGCAAGGGTGTTACTGAATGTGGGGAAATATGCGAAAAAAAAAAATACACTATTAAGGACAGAGAACAATAAAAGAACAGGAATTAAGAAGACAGAAGATAACGTTTGGTATTGCGTTTAAAATTTTTGAAGATCAAAATCAGCTTGATAGCAAGAAACCAAATTTATGTTCCACAAGCGAGAAGTGCGAGAGAAGAATCTGTTACAAGAGAACTTACGGTTACATCTAGCAATTTGGACTGTAAATAGTACTAGATTTCTGGCAATCTAGTACTGCGCTAAAATTCGTAAACTTTCGATACTATAGAGTTAAATTTCCCAGAATAATTACCATGAAAATATTCATATAAAAGCCACAGGGACCTTACTTTACAATAGTCGGAAAAAAAATGACTGGATCTGAGATGACATGTCAGGACATATAACATTGCAGATTCTTCTTTGGATTTTGTCAAGAATCCATAAATATATAACAGGAACACCAATACACATTTAACAATGTCGTTTTTACAGATGAAGGAGAATGTGGCACCAAATTCCAAAGGCGCATTGGGATAATAAAAGGTGCCTTTCCGAAACTAAACAAAGCATTGAGAAACAGGAAAATTTCGTCAAAAAGAAAGAAAAGGGTGTTGAACTGCTGAGTAATATCAATTTTCCCAATATGATTTTGAATACTGGACAATTTCCACATAAATTTTTATTTTTATATTAAGCAAACTGCCGGAAAGTTGAAATTAATATCAGTCAAAAATCCAGGTTGGTGGTCGTCATTGTCTATCCTAAAGCTAAGCTAATCTGATTAAAAACCCATTTACTTGTTCCAATTTATTCATTCCCCACAAGAACACACTCTTCTTCAACTAATCCTACATATACCAAAATGCCACATACTCACAGAAGGACGCACTAAAACCGCATTATGTTAAAATTTATA